GGTGCACCACCCCACCAAGGTATGCTATGCTCTTAAGGACAAGATCCAGGCTCTCATCGACGTCGGAATCATCACAATGAAGCAGCCGAAGGAGAAGAAAGTGGGTGCGAATGCAGTCACGATCGGCTTCGGCTCCTTTCCCGTGAGCCAGTTCCAGCTTGAGCCGGTGATAAAAGCAGCGGTGAAGACGGTGAACGATGATCCTCACAAGCAACGCCAGAATCCTTTGGGTTCATCCAGACTTGATTGAAGATTTACAATGGACTGGAACCTCTTCCAAGAAAAATTCAAAAGGAAAAGGCAAGTCTTGTTATGGAGTTTCTGTTACTCCAGAGGAAGATGACGAAACAATGCCTGTTTTCTCATTTCCCGACAATGAACATGGGAATGGTCGACTGGATGGGGTGGAGATGATTACAACTACCCCCGTACCTGCTGAGAAGACCCAACAGGAGCCCCTGCACCAAGATGTTCGAATCCCGAGGCAGTCTCTATTCAATCAGCAGATTGGAAGAGATAAACCGGGAGATTCAAACACTTCAGATCACTTCGATGTTATGACCCAATTGGCTAACATCCCAGTAAAAGTGACTCTACACGAGTTATCACGTCTCTCCAAAAACACTAGGGATGCGTTCAACATTACTCCTGACCAGCTCACTCAAATAGTTCAAGAAGCACTAATCAAGCAGAAAGAAGAATTTGAGGGCAAGATGGAATCGGCTATGCGGCAAATAAGAGAGTTGCAAGCTGAAAGGCATAAATTTCCTAAATCGGATCATCAGGCTGGGCCTAGCTGTTGCGTTACCCCAACCACGCCTATTCCAGATAGGACAAATACCAATGGTCCGAATTTGAATATGGTTGTTAAGACTGATTCTCCCCTCGATAACATTGGGAGTGGTACGACCAGATCCTTCAATGACACTGGGGGTGGCCCAATTCCTACCTCTCGACATCATGAAAGTAAAGACGAAAAGCAGAAGGAAATCGAGTCTGTCACCACCTCGACTAGACGCTATCCTAAAAGACAGAGGGTCGAAGAAAGCCAATCAGAGTTCGTACCCAGGTTCGCTGCTGATCAAGCGTCACAACGACAGTCGTGGAAGCGATCGCCACAACAGTCAATTCAGATAAAACGATACTCTTTCGAGGATGATGAGGTTCCAGCCATCCTCAAGTACCTCCTAAAAAGCGACAAAATCAAGCTCCCACCTATTAGAAGCCAGGAGGAAGCCAATGAAAGTTCAGACCCAAATTATTGTGAATACCACAGGAAGATCCTTCATCCCACCAAGGCCTGCTTTGCTTTAAAGAAAAGCATCCAGACCTTAGTTGAAGCCGGCGTCTCGACGGCAGAACAAACCGAATAAGAGTGACCATCACACTCCGACAAGTATATGAGTATAAACTGCTTCTTTCGAAACTCCAACGGGTATATGAGTATAAACTGTTTCCTTTGTATCTAACGGGAAGTTCCTGGAGGACATCATACAGGATGTTCTTAAGGATAACCCGATATTAATCAAAAGGGTTGGAAATAAGATATTGCTTATTCTCAGCAAATTCGAGCCCAAATGGGAAGGACCGTTCGTAGTAGAAACAGTCTACTCAAACGGCGCCTATCGCCTAGTCACCAAAGATGGTGATCGGCTGATGATGCCAATAAATGGCAAATTCCTGAAGAGGTACTATCCTTAGCACCTTTCAGAAGGAGCTGATGTATCGGGAAGTTCCCGGAAGAATACCACATTGGGGTATTCTTAGGGATAACCTGGTCGGTATAAGAGAGATGAACAAGAAGTCCACATTCGAACCCAAATGGGAAGGACCGTTTATAATAGACACAGGTTTGTCAGACTCTAGCCCTCATCAGATGAGATCCAATCATTCGAGGGATTAATTTTCCCTCACAAAACTTTCCTTTGTGTTCGATTACTCATAATCTTCGCCACACATTCCTCACTCGGTCAAACCTTACGACAGTTAGGACCAAAGCCAAAGTCCCCTCTCGATTCCTTCAATGAACGAGAGGTCCACTTTCAAACTCCCGAATGACCAAACCTTACGACAGTTAGGGTCATCTCGAACCCTCGCTTAGTCACAACTTACCCTGGTCGAGACTAAGACCGAGTCATCTTTTGTTCAAATGACCAAACCTTACGACAGTTAGGGTCGTTTGAACTTTCCGATTCTCGGAGTGGAGATCCCACTTCTAGTTTCATCCTGCGGATTCTGGAGGTGGAGATCCCACCTCGAGTTTCCCTCTTTTGCTGGAGATAGAATATAAAATTCTTCCTCTCCAGTTCTGAAGATAGAATATAAAATTCTTCCTCTTCAGGGTCAAATGACCAAACCTTACGACAGTTAGGGTCGTTTGAGCCTTTCGGATTCTGGGGGTGTGCCACCTCGAGTTTCCTTTCCAGCTGAAGATAGAATATAAAATTCTTCCTCTTCAGAGTCAAATGACCAAACCTTACGACAGTTAGGGTCGTTTGAGCCTTTCGGATTCTGGGGGTGTGCCACCTCGAGTTTCCTTTCCACCGGGAGATAGAATATAAAATTCTTCCTCTCCTCGGACCTTTCCGATGCTCGGAGTGGCGACCCCACTCCCAGTTCATCATTCCGGGTGCTCGGAGTGGAGATCCCATTCCCAGTTCATCCTTCCAGATACTGGGGGTGGGGAATCCCACCTCAAGTTTCCTTTCCAGCGGGAGATAGAATATAAAATTCTTCCTCTCCTATTTTGACACAACTTTCAATTTCCGATCCGCGCACTTGGTGCGTGGGGAATTTTATCCCGAATCCTAAGTAGGGATAAGTCAACACCTAACACGTGTTGCCGGGTAGCCTATTCCCGTAACAAGGGCAAAGTCTACGTATTCGAAGTCGTAGCAGCAAGTCTAAGGGAGTTCATTCCTTTAGCACAACGTTACATACGGAACGGATTTCGATAATCCGCATGCTAGCCCGATTCAAACGGTGATCGGTAAAGGCACATCAAACCCGTTGAAGGCTGGGGGTTTGCCAAAAACCCCAAAGTCAACGCCTAACACGCGTTGCCGGGTAGTCTATTCCCGTGAGAAAGACGAAGTCTACGTATTCAAAATCGTAGCGCTAAGAGCGTTAACTCTCTTAGCATAACGTTACATGCGGAACGGATTTCGACAATCCGCATGCTAGCCCGATTCAAACGGTAATCGGTAAAGGCACATCAAACCCGTTGATGGCTGGGGGTTTGCCAAAAATCCTAAAAGTATTATGGTCAATCATTTCAAATGGGATGAGGAATCATAATAAAGATAAAAGCCAGAGTCATAACATTAAGGGCTGGGGGTGTACCAAAACATCCTGTGAAAAGAAGCAAGTGCAGAGTCTCAAATACAAGATCAAGCAAAACGCGTACAACAACAAGTCCGTCAACCCGAAGGCAACCGACGGCTAAGAATATGAGACTCTAAACCGGAGAGCCTGTCCATATAGTCCTGCTCGAACTCCGCCTGCAGGCTAGCTCGAACAGAATCTTCGGAACTGTTGAGAACTTCCGCGGCTTCGCTTCGCAGCTTCATCAACCCCTCCTGTGCTGATCCAAGCCTGTCAAGCGTCCATTCGCGAGAACGCTCCAACCCAACCAGCTCCTCAGTAATGGTAGCAGCAGATTCTTCGGCACGTTCCAAGGCCTCCTTCAGTCTAGCTATCTCTGCATGAGTAGAATCTAGGGAGCTGACTATCTCAGCCCTACTTGTGTCCTTCCTCGCCAGAGTGGCCATCAGCTGTGCGACAGTGTGCTCACGTGATCGAAGCTCGCTACCAACGGAAGATCGCAGTTCATGCCACTGCGCCAACCTATCCTCCACCTGAGAAGATGCAAAGGAGGAAGCTCCACCAGCCTTCAACTCTCTCAACTCTAAGATCTCTGACTCCAGGATAGCGAATTCAGCAGTGAAAGAGTCGGCCAGCTCCGGATGACCTTCTTCCCTCATCATCACCATGTGACGAGAGAAAGAACGCCTGAACTGATCAAAGCAGCATCCCCTCTGGAGAAGCTTCTCGATCATACCATTATAGAAGGTCGTAAAATAACCAAGATCCATACGAAAAACATCTCTGTCTGGATCGGTGCTGACCAAAAGAGCGTGGACATGCTCATAAAGAGAAGATCGAGATCCTGAAAGCGGCAATACAAGAAGCTAAGGGACTATCAAAAAAAAAAAACGATAATCCGAGGGGAAAATTCGAGGCATACCTGTGCCGGTAGAAGTCCCCTCGGGTTGAGACCCGACAGAATCCGAAGTGCCGACAGGAGTGGTCATGGGGGGTGTGTCAACCCTCGTGGGCAAATCAGTCGTATCATTCGGTGGAGGTGGGAAAACACCCGCGGCTATAGCAGCATCAGGCACATCGCCTGGTCCTATAGTTACCTTTCCTTATTAGCCAAAATGGAAATTTAGGCAAGTAAAGAAAAGCGGGAACGGATATATACCTGTGAATGAACCACTTTCAAAGAGTGGTCTCATAGGTCTTTCCGAAGTCTGCTCGGCCAACATATCGGCCAATAGTCCAGCATCAGGTTTCGAGAAACCAGGTACAGGAGCATACCCCCGTTCCTCAAAACTTACATCCGGAAAGACTCCATCCCCAGCTAGCCCTTCTCTAGCGACATCTGCAAAATAACCAAAGTGTTGGAAAGATGCACAAGAGAGAAAACAAAGGCTGGCAGATGGTTTGTAAGCGGTCTTCTTTCTCTTCGAAGTACCAGTCCTCACAGAACCCACAGGTTGATCACGCACAGGCTTACTAATCGTAGCAGCTCGATCTCCTAGCCCTGGGTTCGCGGAATGAGAAGCGAGTGGCTCATGATCGCCAGTGGTTCTACCTGAAATGATGACATCTATAAGTACTAGATGGATTTAAGAAAGGGAGTCAAAGGGTATGACAAACCTGTACCGAGTTCGCCTTGGTCGGTGTCTATATCTGCAAACTCCCCCTCAGGAGTCTCGACCTCATCATCAAGAGAAGATTTACCGCGTCTCTTCCCCTGCTTCTGAGCAATCTCAGCCTTACGAGCAGCCATCATGGCGGCCCGCACTGAGTAATCAGACTCTAACTCTGAAAAGGTCTTCACGCCTATGAATTCATAAGCAGAGAGGAGCCACTTGCAGCTGAGAAAAGTGATCTTCGGCCTACGCCTATAAGAGGGAAGAGCAAAATGGGCCCCGGTGCAGCCCGCCATAGTCCACAGCCATGCTCGCACACCGTCAACAAGTCCTCCCTCGACCCTCAATCCACGGCTGGGATTCCCGATATATAACTGGTCATAACCAAACTGGCGAGCAAAACGGCAAGGGAGGTAAGGCTCTATATAGCATCGGTTCTTCACCCGGAAAACAAGATATCCGACACGGATATTAATCAACCAACGAAAACAACCGATGTCGAGAATAGTACGGTTACTTCTGGGTTTCTCATCATCAGTCAAAATGTCGCCATAGCGACCCGAAAACTGAGGGAAGCACTTGAAGAACTCCCAACCTTTGCGAACTTGAAGCTCCTGCTGATCTTCTCCAACAGCTGCAGATATGGGACAGAAACATCAACGGCATCAGGCGCCGACATCAGGTCAGGACGGTGAAGAACGAGCCACGCCATCAGATATGCGTAGGGGAGCTCGACCTTGGGACAGATGAGCACAGTAGATGGCTTAGGACCCACCTGAGTAAAGCTACGGACCACACTCCTGAGTCCGCAATGGATACTGGCAACCATCGCCGGAAGCAGAGAGAGTTCCCTCCCATGAGCCAACTGAACCGCGGGAAAAAGCACCTCAAGAGGTAAGGCATCCGAACACTGGTGAGGAACAACGCACTTCTTCAACCAGAGAGCAAGATAGCCCGCCAACAGAGACCGAGGCTTGATAGACTTCTGCGCACGGCAGAGGAACGAGCGAAACTTGGTCCCCGCAGGGAAGGCGCCTTCAACGCTGGCAGTGGTATAGGATTGGGCCCCACTCTTCTCCACCAACTCGTTAACGGCAGTGACAGTCAAAATATCTAGCTCGCGAACAGAGTCGCTGGAACTACCCTCCAAGTTCTGGAACAAATAATTGGCAAACTGCCTCAAACTAATCTTCCTCTTTGTCTTCGCGGGAGGAGAAATCTGGATCAAGGCAGTGTGATAATGACAGGTGAGGTCCCAGAGGGTGTCATACATGTCGGGATCATCATGCTTCAACTGCCATAACTGCCGATTCGAAGGAAAGTACTCCTGATAGGGGTAATCTCCCATCAGAAGACCGGAAACCTGATGCATCTCATGGAGGGCTAACCCCAACTCTCCGTCACCGGTCAGAAAGGTGTTGCTATCGGGTATGTACGTCTCCAACAATGCCAAGAAATGGCGGCAGCTAACGGGAAGTCCATACATAGTAGCCCGTATAGGCACATACAGGCCACTGCTCTTCAGGATCTTCTCCCAACGGCCCAAGACGTAGCCAGTCATACGGGGCCACCACCCCTTGGGCAAAGAAGAAGCCCAACCATAGCATCGGTACTCCGGGTGAGGAAGCTTTCTCCCGAGGAGAGCCAACCTGTTCCTCACTGTAGAAGCAACTGCAAACATCTCGTCTGGGGGCGCGGCGTCAAGGCCCATGATCCCGGGTCTTAGGCCACGAACAGGATGATATCCGCCGGAACCAGGGGTCTTCCCATGAGAAACATACCCAAACTGAACCCGCTCGGCGTCATCAGTGAGTTTCCAAGACATCCGTCTCTCCACACCCTGTCCCTCCAGATGAGTAAAGGAACAATGGCGAGGGACGGAAGGAATATATAGGAGGGCACTCTCCTCAAGGGTTAGCCAAGGGTGTTTTGCCCGAGTTTTGACCCCCGCGCGACAGTTTGATACCACGAATCATTTCTTTTACCCCCCAATGTTTCCACAAAAGTTGATTCTCCCACGCCGACGGTTGAAAATAGGGGTGAACTTCACACATCAACGATCGGCGATTCGAAACCCTAAGGCGGACGCCGGTCAACGCGTAGCCCTAGGTCAACGCCGGACAGCGCGTTGCGACAAAAGTCAACACGTGGCGACGAAAGTCAACACGTGACGACAAAAGTCAACCCATGACGACGAAAGTCAACCCACGCGGTTCAAAACCCTAAGGTGAGCGCCGGTCAACGCGTAACCTTAGGTCAACGCCGGACAACGCGTTGCGACAAAAGTCAACACGTGACGACGAAAGTCAACACGTGACGACGAAAGTCAACCCACGCGGTTCAAAACCCTAAGGTGAGCGCCGGTCAACGCGTAACCTTAGGTCAACGCCGGACAGCGCGTTGCAGCAAAAAGTCAACACGTGACGACAAAAGCCAACCTACGCGGTTCAAAACCCTAAGGTGGACGCCGGTCAACGCGTAACCTTAGGTCAACGCCGGACAGCGCGTTGCGACAAAAGTCAACACGTGACGACGAAAGTCAACGCGTGACGACAAAAGCCACCCCACGCGGTTCAAAACCCTAAGGTAGACGCCGGTCAACGCGTAACCTTAGGTCAACGCCGGACAGCGCGTTGCGACAAAAAGTCAACCCCCAGTGATTCAGAACCCCAGGTCAACACGATGTGACAGGGATAGCAAGTTCAAAAGTCAACTCAATGACACGAGCCAAACTCAACTCACCAGCTATAAACTCGAGATTCTATAAAACTCGAGACTCCAACGACGGCCAGGCGATAAACGCAGCGCCGGAACAATCTCGGTTACTCGACAAAGCACCGGATATACCGAAGATCGAAGGAGCCGAGAGTTGAAGCAAACCACAGGTCCCTTAGGCCGACTGAAGGTTGGACCAATCATATCCAAAGTATTCCGGTCTCTTCTATAAAAGAAACGAGTCCGAAACACTTTGGAGGGGGTATCTGTAGGCATCAAAAATTGCCGATAGGTCCCCACTCACAGCTCGATGTTAACGATCGACGATTGAACGTCACTACCCGGTTCACAAGGGTTCAAATGACGCCGGTGAACGATTGAAGCGAACCGACGGACTATGTGAGCCGACAGAATGTCAGAATCACGGGGATATGGATTGACCGGAAACCCCGCGACCGCTGCAAAAGGACCAACGCCCGCCGTGTCCCGATCTGATAATCCAACCATCGGGGCCTACAGAGCTCATCGCCAAGATTCCAACGCATCCGAAATCATTCGAATCCGAGTTGGGACGGCGGATCAACGGCAAATACACCTGGGAACACCTCGGACCAGACTGAGACACCCAGGGGCATCCCGGCCAGGACGAAACACCCGAGGGGTGTCTTGGCAAAGCCAAGACACCCCAGGGGTGTCTCGGCCAGGCCGAGACACCCCCAAGGTGTCTCGGCCAGGCCGAGACACCCTAGGGTGTCTCGGCTTGGCCGAGACACCCTTGGGGGGTCTCGGCCTGGGCGAGACACTGGCCGGGTAGCCTATTCCCGTAACAAGGGCAAAGTCTACGTATTCAAAGTCGTAGCATTAAGTCTAAGGGAGTTCATTCCTTTAGCACAACGTTACATGCGGAACGGATTTCGACAATCCGCATGCTAGCCCGATTCGAACGGTAATCGGTAAAGGCGTATCAAACCCGTTGAAGGCTGGGGGTTTGCCAAAAACCCCAAAGTCAACGCCTAACACGCGTTGCCGGGTAGTCTATTCCCGTAAGAAAGACAAAGTCTACGTATTCGAAGTCGTAGCATTAAGTCTAAGGGAGTTCATTCCTTTAGCACAACGTTACATACGGAACGGATTTCGATAATCCGCATGCTAGCCCGATTCAAACGGTGATCGGTAAAGGCATATCAAACCCGTTGAGGGCTGGGGGTTTGCCAAAAAACCCCAAAGTCAACGCCTAACACGCGTTGCCGGGTAGTCTATTCCCGTGAAAAAGACGAAGCCTATGTATTCAAGATCATAGCACAAAGCCTCAGAGAGTTTACTCTCTTAGCACAACGTTACATGTGGAACGGATCTAGACAATCCACATGCTAGCCCGATTCAAACGGTGATCGGTAAAGGCACATCAAACCCGTTGA